AAAAAAGAGAGAGAGAAAGGAAGTGAGTGAGATCTTCATCCACTGCTTCGTTTCCCAAATGTCTGCAACGGCTGGGTCTGGGCCAGGCTGAGGCCAGGAGCCAGACTCCGTCCAGGGCTGTTATGGGGGATGGCAAGGGGTTCTTGGGCTGCCTTCCCAGGCACATTAGCAGAGAGCTGGATTAAAGGCAGAACAGCTGGACCTTGACCCAGTGCTCGTACGGGATACCGGTGTCGTAGGTGGTGGCTTAGCCTGCCGCGCCACACACTGCCCCTTGTCTATCGAATGTGGAGTGCGCTTCCTGCCGCTGCAGGCCTTTGCGGGTGTGTGGTTGTCCGGGCTGACGTGTCACTGCTGGAGAAGCTTTCCAGACCCCAAACACCAGGGCTGCACCTGCGAAGCTTCAGCAGGGGCACCTTCTTAGCCCTGTGAGCGATGAAGAAGGTTGTTCTGGGCTGGGCATCTGGCCCACAGGTCCGACCCCTGCGTCCCACATCTGAATTATCTGGGCTCGAGTCCCTGCTCATGTGGACTCCGAGGCAGCAGTGATGGCTTAAGTGTTTGGGTCCCTGTCACCCACATGGGAGACCTGGATTGAGTTCCCAGCTTTGACCCTGTCCCCAGCTGTGTTGGCGGGCATTTGAGAAATGAACCAGTGGTTGGAGCAGGCGCTCTTTCTCCCTTCACCTCCCTCCTCAGATAAACAAGTAAGGAACTTGAAAAGCAGGTCGTGCTTAGGAAACACTTAGTGCACTTGCCAAGCACTTGGGAAGAGCTGGAGCTGCGGAGCTGTGCGGTCCCTGGGGGCTTTAATGTGGGGCCGGTTGGGGTGGATTCAGGGAAAGATGAGCTGTCCTTCTTGGCCTTTCCATCTTCAGTTCTGAGAAAGCCCCTGGGTCCCCGAGGCCCTGAAAGCTCGATTAATCATCACACCGGCGCTCCCAGGAAGGGGAGGCTCCGCTCTGCTGTGGCGGGGCAGAGTCAGAGCCTAGCAGCGGGCAGGCCTGGGTGGCCCAGCTGAGCTCCGGGCAGGGCACTTGGAGTAGACTGGCACCACCCAGACTCGACCTCACCTCTCTTCCTGCTGCCCGACTGCCATTCCCACTCATGGTCTGCGTGGCCTCGGGCTAACCGCTAACCTCTCTGAGCCTCAGATACCGCCTCTGTGCAGCTGCCATGACAGTGCCCACGGCGTCAGTGAGCACGCGTGCATCAGGAACATGCCTCATACAGCGCCTGGGCGCAGGGCTCACATGCTGCAGCTCTGGTCCAAGGAGCCCCAGGCACCAGGCCGTTCTCTCCTAGGTCTTTTGCGTCCCCTAGGCTGAGGTGTTAGCCACACCCTGCGCCCGGCTCACCCCCGCCTGCCTGGGAGGCCTTGGTTCAACACCCCTTTCTCCAGGATGCTCTTCCTGGTGCTCGCTCTGCTGCTGGCGATGACCCAGTCCTCCCAGCCCTGCGGCAGGGGCTTCTCCCGCCTCTCCACAAGAGGACGCAGGTTCCGGGAGACTGGTTCCTGCTCAGCATGACGCGGCTGGGAAGGGACGGAACCAGGGTCGGACACAGGCAGTGTAGCCCTGGAGTCCCTGCCCCTGCCTTTTCTGAGGTTGCCCTCTGGGTGGCAGCCTTGTGCTCCTGTTTGCTACCCCCTCCACCTCCCCCCACTCCCGTCTCCAGCCTTCAGTTCCAGGCCTGACTTGGAACCAATCTTCTGTGTCTGCCTGTTTGACAAGAACAGGCACCAAATAATACCTGCCGGCTTTTCCTCTCTGTCAGGTGCCAGCCGATCCATTTACATGCATTACCTCGTTTAATCGCACTCGTGCCACCCCCGGGGTCCACAGGAGGAAACCAGGGCTCTGGGAGTTCTGGTCCACAGTCAGGAGGCAGGTGCCCTTGACCCTGATGCCTCAGGGAATGACTGCGCAGGTCCGTCCCAGTACCTCCAAGCAGACCGGCAGGTGGTGGTTTCCCTTCCCGCCTGTGGAGAGCATGTGGCTTCAGGGCTTTATGTAGATCTGTGGGGCCTCTGCCATTGTAAGCTGCCACAAACCCCTCAGTCTTTCCAAAAACATGGAGTCATGCCCTTCCTCTGCCATAGGAAGCATTTCCTGTGGGTGAGGCTCTGTGCTGAGCCCTTCTAGGATCAGTGCAGTAACCCTGGGTACAGGAACCCTGTCGACTCCACAGGCCCAGGAAAGTAGGGGGAGGAGGGTGCAGCCCTGGCTCTGCTCCAGGTGCATGGAGGTGCCCCCTGGTCAGAGGCCTGTCCTCTGTGCCCCCTGTCCTGACACCTGGCTGGGTCTGAGCCCTTAGACCCTGTCCTGACCCTTGCTGCCCCCTACTCTGTCCTCTTGGGGCCCCATGTGTTATTGCGGCAACGTCTCTGCCAGCCCTATGCAGCCTTGGGCGGGTGAGGAAGCCCAGAGGCAGGTCTTACGCAGAGCCACCGTGGCCTTTAGATCTAGGGTCAGGTCGTTCCGGCCCTGGAGGCAGCAGACCTCAGTGCTCGTCCGCCTGGTGTGGTGAGTGCCTGCTGTGCAGGCCACCTGGGCGCTGTCCTTGCCTTTTCGGCAGGGAACTGGGGCGCACGTGGGAGACACGCACAGAACAAAGGAATAATGGACAATAGAAAGGCCTGGCTGTGCCGAGCCTCAGAAGGGGAAGCAAAAGGCCGACGGTTTCCCCTTGCCCAGGGAGGGGAAGTCTGCGTGGTGTTGTCAGACCTCAACTTGCTCCGCCGTCGGAGTGTGATTTCCTTGCAGCCACAAGTGCCTCGTCTCTTCTGGAGCCCTGGACGGCTAGCTCAGCGCAGTCAGAGGTGGGGAGAGGCAGCTTGCAGCAGACGCCACCCTACTTGGCTCCCACTGGAAGCTGAGCCACAGTCTCCCACTCGTGGGGGCAGCTGTGGCAAAGGTGCAGATGCGTGAGGACCAGGCGCGGTCGGAGCGAGGGTTTGGGCGTGAACCTCAGCCCAGTCCTGCCACGATTTTTCTTTCTAGCTTTGTGTCCTAGTGCAGGCTCTTGTAATTCCCCAAGCCTCGGTTTCGTCGTCAAGGCCATGCAGTAGCAGACAAGCTGGCCTCACAGACGCCCAGGGGACTCGGTGAGGCTGTGCATGCAGCACGCGGCCTGGCACACGGTGACTGCTCTTACAGTGCTGCCACCCGGTCAAGGCTGCCTGGATCAGGGCGGAGAACTCTAATTGCTCTCCTTCTGGCGAGTCTGTAGGCCTCCCCAAGTCCCCCGGGCCTTCTCAGCCTTGCCTCTGCTCTGAGGAAGTGATGCCCCCAAAGGCCTCCACAGCCACTCTGCTCCTTCCGGAAAGTTCCCACCAAGGCAACACTATGCCTTGCCAGGAGTGCCCCTCTCCAGACTCCCCCTGCCTTCCTCTCATCATCACTTGGTCAGCAAGGACACGTGTCCAGCCTGCCTCAGGTTCCCAGAACCCTGCACAAGACCAGAACAAAGCAGGTGCTCAAATATTTGCTGAATGACTCAGCCGGGGCTGGGAGGGCTGGGAGCAGAGGGTGCTGGAGCCCTGAGGAGGAGGCCTGGTGACAGGGTGGAGGGGATACTGGGGGAGCTGGGCGCAGCCAGTGAGGTTCTGACCATTCACTGCCTGACTCAGGGGCGCTGCTGAGCTTTTCCCATGCGTGAGCTCGTTTAAGCCTCGTGACGTTTCCAGGAAGGTTCTCCAGTGTGCAGACCGGGAGGGGCTGCGTGTGCACATGCAGAGGGCGGGTCATTTACTGTCTTTGCGGAGGGGATCGGAACTCGGCTGACTCCAGCTTCCTGTCACTGCAGATTCTGGGAGGCAGAGTGATGGCTTAAGTATTACGAGTCCTGCCATCTTGATTGAGACCTTGATTGAGTTCCCAGCTCCTGGCTGTAGCCCTGGCCACCGTGAGCGGGGAGCAAACTAGCAGATGGACATGTGTCTGTCTGCTTGCCTCTCAGATAAACAAAAAGCTAAGTTTAGCTTGGTATAACATTTTTTTGAAATCTGTACATAAATGCATTTTCCATTAATTTTTGAAGACCTCTTTAAAAAAATAAAAAGATTTATTTGAAAGGTGAAATTAGAAGTCTTCCATACGATTGTTCACTTCCCAAATGGCTGCAATAGCTGGAGCTGGGCCAATCTGAAGCCAAGTGCTGGGAGCCAGGAGCTTCTTCTGGGTCTCCCACATGGATGCAGGGGTCCAACCACTTGGGCCATCTTTTTCTGCTTTCCCAGGCCACAGCAGAGAGCTGGATCAGAAATGGAGCAGCCAGGATTCGAACCAGTGCCCATATATATGGGAAGCCAGCACTTCAGGCGACAGCCCTACCTGCTACGCCACAGCGCTGGCCCCAAAGACCTCTCCTTTATGCATGGATTTCAAATTTCTTTTGCAGCCAAATAAACTTTCTAGTCCCACAAACATTTATTTATTTTGAAAGGCAGAGCAATGCAGAAAAAGAGGAAGACAGATCTTCCATCCGCTGGTTCACTCCCCCAGTGGCTGCAGCAGCAAGGAGCCTGGAACCCCACCTGGGTCTCTCACATGGGTGGCGGGGCCCAAGCTCTTGAGCCGTCTCCTGCTGCTTTCCCAGGTGCATCAGCAGGGAGCTGGATCAGAAGCAGAACAGCCAGGACCCAGACCGGCACTTACAAGGGATGCCGTCCACCGCAGGTGGCTGCTTAACCCACTGTGCCACAAAGCTGGGCCCTCCATGACCCATTTGAAGTCCCTCATAGCTACCAGGGAGCTGCTCGACGCTTTTTAGTCCGTGATCTTCACGACAACCCTGTGGGAAGGTGCTCCTGCTTTCCCCCCAGTTTTCAGGGGAGGAACAGACCTGGAAGTCGTTAGCCTGAAGGTGGAGAACGTGGTGGAGCTGGGGTTCAGGCTGGGGCCCTGTTGGCTCGCTCACACGCCACCCCGCTGCCAGGGTTGCATCCCTGGAGCCTCGGTGCCACTGCTGACATGGCGTCCCCGCCCTCTCCCCAGCAGCTCCCCAGGTGGCAGCAGCAGCAGCAGTTCTCCTCCCTGGACGACAAGCCGCAGTTCCCCGGGGCCTCGGCGGAGTTCATAGACAAGCTCGAGTTCATCCAGCCCAATGTCATCTCGGGCATCCCCATCTACCGCGTCATGGACCGGCAGGGCCAGATCATCAACCCCAGCGAGGACCCCCACGTGAGCGGCTGCCTTGTCACCTCCCCGTGCCCCCGTACCCGGGCCCCTTGCCTGTGTCCCCTGTGATCCCAACAGGCCCATATCCGTGTGCCCCCACCTGCAGCTGCCCCAGGAGAAGGTGCTGAAGTTCTACCAGAGCATGACGCTGCTCAACACCATGGACCGCATCCTCTACGAGTCCCAGCGGCAGGTGCGTGGCCGCCTGCGGAGGACTCAGTCCCCTGTGGTCGTCCAGCCGTGTTCAGGGAAGAGGATAGAGATCCTCGTGTGTGGGGGCCAGGGGAAGGGAGGAGGGCTCCTTGGCAGTCTCGGTGTGTTCATGGGACTCTGGAAGAAGAGAATGGGAGTGTGGACAGGGGTCCTGCCCAAGGGCAGAGGGTGACCCTGTCAGGAGGACATGGCTGTGGGCCTGGCTGGAGGCTTCAGGTGCAGGAAGGGCAGGAGTGGAAGCCTCCAGCCCTCGCTCTCTGCAGCTCACAGTCCTGACAAACCCGGAGGACCCACGGAGCACTGAGGCCCGTGCCAGATGTCCTCTGATCCTTAGAAGTCTTGGTCCCAGGGGGACATGGGCCTGGGCAAACCAAGGTCCGCAGGAGGATTTGCTGACTTACGTAACTGCGAGGCCACAGGGCTCTGCACTGAGGCGTGGCTGCATCCAGAGGGCTCAGGATGTGCTCTCGGGCCTTTCCCTCTCCTCTTTGCTTTGGCTTCCTTTGTTTCCAGGTGGTGGTGGTGGTCCCTGGTCGTCCTCAGCTCAGGGAGAGGTGGTAGAGAAAAAAGGTTCTGTGTGGGCCCTGAGCTGGTCTGTGAGACTGAGGTTCTGGCCCTGGGACCCCCAGTGCTTCCATCTTACCTGAACTGGCCTCAGGTCGCCCTGAAGACTGACGGTGGTGTCGGGTCCTGTGACGCTGCCAGCCTTGTGGTTACCACTCCGTGCGGCAGTGGAAACAGAACAGTCCCTTAGGGTCCTGCAGAAGGCCCCCGGCTGATGCTCGCTGGCCAGGCTCAGGCCCCATGCCACACCCAGGAGCCGAGGGTGGAGGAGTAGAGGCCACTGCTCCCAGGCCACACAGATGAGAGCCGGGGCAGGGTTCCTGTTGGAGAAGGGGAAGGGTGTTGGGCAGGCAGCCCTCAGATGCTGACCCTCCTGTGCACGGGAAACAGGGTGGGCCTGGAAGTCTGCGTTTACATCAGGTCCCTGGGGGTCAAGCCCCTTAGTGATTCCCACTGAGGTGCGAGGCCCGTGGGCAGGAGGACACGACTGAGTGGATGCAGGCGGGCAGCCCACTCCTGACTTTCCCACTCACAGGAATGCTTCCTGTGGCTTCCCCAAGTAGGGAGGTCCTCACCCCACCCAGAGACTTCCCTGGGCACCCACTGTCCACAGGGTCAAGCCTCACCACGCTGTCTCCCATTCTACGGTGGGCTCCGTGCTCTGCCCCCCTCCCCACAATCTCTGCCACGCCAGGCCGCCCCTGCCTGTGCACTCAGACCCAGGCACAGCCGTGACTACACAGGTGTAGTCTCTTGTCTCTGCCTCACATTTCTTCACTGTAAAAATGTGGGTCTCAAGGCAGCCATTTGTGCCTGGAACACCCACATCCCACACTGGGGGCCTGGGTTCGAGTCCAGCCTCCTGCTCGTGCTGACCCTGGGGGCAGCAGGGATGGCTCCAGTGGTTGAACCCCTGCTTCCCACGTGGGAGACCCAGATCAAGTTCCAGGCTCCTAGCTTGACCTGGCCCATCTGGGAGAAAACCAGTATGGATGGGAGAGTGCTCTGAGTCTTTTTGCCTTTCAAATAAATGAATTTTAAAAGTTTTAAGATTTATTCAATTGAAAGGCAGAGTTACAGACGGGGAGAGACACAGAGAATGAGGTCTTCCGTCTGCTGGTTCACTTCTCAGATGGCTGCAACAGCCAAGGCTGGGCCAGGTGGGAGATGGGAATCTGGAACTCCATCCGGGTCTCCCACACGGGTGGCAGGGACCCAGGCCCTTGGAGTCATCTTCCATCGCTTTCCCAGGCACATTGTAAGGAGCTGGATTGGAAGTGGAGCAGTCAAGACTTAGAACCAGTGCTCACAGAGAATGTGGGTGTCACAGGCAGTGGCTTAACCCACTGCACGGCAGTGCCAGCCTGCTTCAAATTCTGTTAAAAGTGGGGAGGGTCCTGATAGAACCCGTCTGTAGGGTCGGCCTGGGATTCAGGGAGACCCTGCATAGTAGGTGCTTGGCTGACAGGACACCCTCAGTAAGGTCCCTGTGCCGTCACTCAGGGCTCAGCTGCTGTTAGGGTCTGTTTGTGACAGACCACCTTCCCATGCAGCACGGAGGGGAGCCCTAGCAAATAAACACAACCGCTAGCTCAAACAGATTCATGCTTTCTCCTGTTTGAGCAAGGAAACCTGGAAATGAGCTGCCTGGGGCTGGGCTGGGCAGTAGCACCGTGGGGTCATGGGATGCCCATTTCCCAGCACTGCCATCTGCATTGCCTGGTGCTGACTTCTACCTTCACGGAGCTCCCTGTAGTTTCATTCCAGGCAGGAAGTAGAAGGAAGATCAGACGAGGCTAAGTCCCCACCCCCACTTCTATAGAACTTTCCAGGGGGTCCCACCCAGTGAGGTCTGCTTGCGTTTCGTTGGTCACTGCTAGTTGCAAGGGGACAGGAATGTAGTTTTCCGTCTGGCAGGGCCCCCCTGCCCTGGAGTGAGCTTGTTGGCAGAGGAAGGGGCCAGGCACTGGGTGGGCCCCAGTAGCTTCTGCCACTTGCTCAAGTCCTGTTTCCTCTGGGGCTGTCTCAGGCCCCTCTCTGCGCTCACCTGACAGCCCTGCCAGGCCTTCAGCACCCAGCCTCCACCCACTCACTTGGCACTAGAAAGCCAATTAACTTTTAATTGGTTCCTCACTTAGAAGAAAGCTCGTATTCATCAGTTTCCCCCACAACAACCAGAAAGCCAGGCCGGGAATCCACAGGGAACCCCGCTGAACCTGAGGAGGGCTGGCCACGGGGTCCTGCAGGACCACCCCGGCTTGCCCTGCTTCCCCTGCACGTGGCCTGGTGCTTTCGGTTCCCGTGCACCTGCGGCTCCCCAGGTCTCCATCCAAGCGTCTCAGAGCCCTGGCGCCCCCTGGCCTCTCCCTGCATGTCCAAACCTGACCTCGTGTCTTCCTCCCAGACCTGTTCCTCTTCCTCCCTGGGCCCATTTCACAGAGCAGGGTTCTGCCATCCAGCCTTTGCCAGTCTGTGGACCTGCACCTCCCACCCACCTTGTGCCTCTCTGGGTCCTGCCTTAGAAATCACTCATCAGAGCCTGGGCCCTCCCTCTCTCCTGCTCACTGTTGGTGCCTCGGCTTCCAGACTACTTGTTGCCCCTCGTTGGCAGGAAGCAGCCACAGGCCCATGCTTTTGGCTGGGTGCAAGAAGAAGGGAGGGCAGGGCAGGGCATTGGCTGCTGTGGTCCCTCATCCAGAAAGCAAAGCTAAAGCTGTGTCCCAGGCCAGCTCTGCCTGCGTGGGAGACTGGGAACTTGGGTGCAGTTGGGAGATGTGGGAGCAGGGGGCTGGCCCGGGTGCCCCCAGCACTCTGACTGGGCTCCCTGGACTCATCCCTCTGCTCCTCTTCCCCCGGCACCACTCCCAGCCAGGCCCACCCTCCTGGCTTTTCCATTTCCCGTAGGCAGCCCGAGAGGCTTTTAAAACCCCAGGCTGACCACGGGGCTCCCTGGAGAACTGTGTGTGGTTACAGATGCTGCCTGCCCTGCACTACCCTGCCTGCTCTCTCCTGCCTCCAGCCTTTCTGGCCTGTGGCCTTTCTAGTGCCTCTGCCTGGGGCCCTCCATGCACTTGGCCTTTGCTCACTTTAGACAGTCCTCTGATGCCCTTCCGCTGGGACAGGTCCCTCCTTGGGCTCCCATCCCAGAGACCTCATTGCCCAGGCTCTAACTTGGCAGCTCCCTGGGGGCAGGAGCCCCAGCAGGGCCTGGTCAGGGCTGGCTTTCAGGAAGACACTTGGTTAACGGGGCCATCAGGGCTTGGGCAGATTGGACTGATTGTGTCATTGCTCAGCATAACCAAACCCCCTCGCCCTCCCCCAGGGCCGGATCTCCTTCTACATGACCAACTACGGTGAGGAGGGCACACATGTGGGGAGTGCGGCCGCCCTGGAAAACACAGACCTGGTGTTTGGCCAGTATCGGGAGGCAGGTATGTCCGCCTGCACATTTTTGTTAGCCCACGTGCTCTTCCAGGAGCAGCCCAGCGCCAGGAAGGGGTGCCGGGCTCGGGGTGGGTGTGTGGTGCAGTAGAGGTTAAGTCTCCACTGGAACACGCGTGTCCTGTACTGGAGTGCGTGGCTCCACTCCAATCCAGCCGCCTCTAATGTGCGCCCTGGGAGGCAGCAGGGATGGTCCCCACCTGGTACAGGTCAGCAGCACCCGGCCACTGAGCCTCCTTCCCCAAGCTCACCCGGTGGCCCCAGGGTGAGTGTGTTCCATGCCTATTCTGAGGCGTGTTCACGGTACTCGCAGCACCTCCACTCCTCAGGAAGTGCGTAGTCTCAAAGCCAGCGGTGTAGGCAGACCTGAGCCGAGCCGTGCGGACATCCCTCGGGGCACCCTGTTAGCTGGAGAGCAGAGATGCTCCCCACTTCCCCTCCTCCAGCTTGGTGTTGGCTTGTGTGCGCGAGTCTGCGTTGTGCGGGCTCCCCACTCCGCCCTCGCTGGGGTGGGAGCTCTCGTTCCCCGGCTGAGGACGCGGAGGGCGCCGTCTCCTCGGGTCATCTGGGCGTTCATCAGCGCGTGCTCCGTAATCTGAGCTGATGCTTGCGATTGCTGTTGAGGGAAGATGTGCGTCACAAAACGTGACACTGGGCCAGTGCCACGGCTCACTAGGCTAATCCTCCGCCCGCGGTGCCGGCACCCCGGGTTCTAGTCCCAGCTGGGGCACCGGATTCTGTCCCGGTTGCTGCTCTTCCAGTCCAGCTCTCTGCTGTGCCCTGGGAGAGCAGTGGAGGATGGCCCAAGTGCTTGGGCCCTGCACCTGCATGAGAGACCAGGAGGAAGCACCTGGCTTGTGCCAGCTGTAGCGGCCATTTGGGGTGTGAACCAACGGAAGGAAGACCTTTGTCTCTCTCTCTCACTGTCTAACTCTGCTTGCCAAAAAAAAAAAAAAAAAAAAAGTGACGCTGTGTGTGTAACGTGATCCTCGTGATTCGCCTGGAGGGCGTCCTGTGGGGAACACGGGTCTGGAGACGGGGGCCGGGCACCTCGGCGGTGGAGCGAGGATGCCGCTCCTTCTCAGGAGGCCGCTGAGGGGCACAGCCCCCACAGGACATCGCAGACTCCGCCCCGCCCTCTGTCGTAGCAGGCAGGGCCCCTTCCCCAGAGCAGGTGAGGTGGGCGTCCAGAGGCTGTGCTTGCGGGAGAGGGCTCCCCTCCAGGCAGCGCGGGAGCCAGTGGTCCTGGCGTTGACTGGGTTCATCGTGATCAAGTAAGCGTCTGAATCAATTAAAAACACCTAAAGGTCTCGAAATTTGTCATTAAATCTGAAGAAGAAAACGGCTGGATGCCTGCCACTTTTTGTAAATTTGCACTCACTTGAGAGAGGGCCCTCATCTGCTGGTTCACTCCCCAGAATGCCCACTGCAGCCAGGGATCCGAGGACGTAGGCCACCACTGCCTTCCAGGGTGCGCGTTTGCAGGAAGCTGGAGTGAGGAGTGGAGCTGGGACTCGACCCTGGCGCTGTGGTGTCGGCTGCCGGTGTCCTAATCATTAGGCCGAATGCCCACTTCCTCCTCCTTTTGAGAAATCAGAGGAGCTAGGCATCGGCCTCCCTCTCATAGGCCCACACTTTCCAGCCTGCCCACGGTCACATGTCTGTGACACCTGCCGGTCCCCGCGAGCCTGTGCATTTGCCTGCCCTGCCCAGTCCTGCTCCCATGTTGTATAGACAGGGAAGTGGAGGCAAGGGGCTTCTCCCAGGTCTCTGGGTTGGTTGTCCCCACCCTCAGCTGACCGTGGCCTCCTCCCTGCCCAGGCGTGCTGATGTACCGGGACTACCCCCTGGAGCTGTTCATGGCCCAGTGCTATGGCAATGTGAGCGACCGGGGCAAGGGGCGCCAGATGCCCGTCCACTACGGCTGCAAGGAGCGCCACTTTGTCACCATCTCCTCTCCACTGGCAACGCAGATCCCTCAGGGTGAGGACGCCTGCCCTGGTGCCGCGCCCTGTCCAGCCTCCGCCCGCCCCTCCCCTCCAGGTGGCCTTCTGGGCAGTGCCACCCACAGAGCCAGCTCTGCTCCAGGCTTTCCGGACACTTCTGGCCGGGACCCTTCTGGAGAGGGCTTTGTCCCTACCATGTCCAGTAGCCCTGAGCTGGTGTGACCACGCTCGCGGTCTCCCAGACGTGCATCTGCCCCACCCAGCTGCTCCCAGCACAGCTGCTGTGTTCCCGAGCGTTTGCTGGGGTCTGAGCACTGCGTGGTCCCGTGTGTCGGCCAGGGTCTGGGCGTGTGCTGCCGTGTGCTGTCTGACGGGGCCCTCACTCACCGCTGACAGCAGGAAACGGAAGTGTTGCAAGGGGCGCGCTTGCAGTAGAGGGAACATCAGGGGCTCAGAACAGGCGACCCCAGGGCCTGGTCCTTGCCCTAACCCCGTACCTCCCTCCTTCCCCACCCTTACTGCAGCTGCCCTGGAGCCCCTTCCATTAAAGGGCACCGCTTGCACCATACAGCAGAGACCAAGCAGTTGGACCTCTCCTGCCCTCCGGGGCCTGCAGCCTGGTCGCAGCTGCCGCTCTGCCCCAGAGGCCAGTGGTGCGCCCAGCACACCAGGAGCTCGTGTTCTGGATGGGGACAGGAGTAGTACAGGCCTCCTGGGGTGGTGTTCTGGGCGGGGCAGGAGTGCAGGCCTCCTGGCACGGTGCAAGGCAGCCTTCTGAGGAGGTGGCAGTGGAGTGACAGGTTGAGTCCCGGCACCTTCCATTTGGGTGCCCACCTTGTGCCAGATGCCATGCTGTGAGCATTGTGGCATGGATCTGGCCAGCACCCAGGACAGAGACCGGCGTCCAGAGGTTAGGGACGCAAGCCCTGTGGGAAGCGGTGGTGGGTGCAGGTGACATTCAAGTGCAGAGCCGTCAGGGAGTGAGTGAGTGAGGAGCGGGGGCAGAGGCCAAGGCTGGCTGCGGAGGTAGGGGAGGGGTGCAGAGCGCGCAGATTAGCAGGGGACTTTGAGTTTCAGAAGTGTTCCCAAAGCCACAGTGCTGTGGACGTTTGAACAGGGTCTGGCTGCTCAGGGTAGCAGGGGCCAGGGAGGAGGCTGTGTCAGAACTCAGGACGCGGCTGTGGCTTGGCCAGGGTGCTGGGGGACCAGGATGGGCGAGAGGGTGGCAGTGGCTGTATTTTGAAGGTGAAGTTGATATGGGGAATGGCTGAGGGCTTGGAGTGGGGGGTGATGCCCAAGTGTTTGGCCTGAGCTGGAGCTGGGAGCGTGGAGCAATGGTCGGCTGCAGGCAGGTGCTGGGGTGGGAAGCAGGTCTTCTTCCCTGGGGAGCCAGACCACAGCCGGCCTCAGCCCCAGAGCGCTGGGCCAGGGCCAGTGTCCTGGGGGGGGGGGGTTTGCATGCGTGCGCACACGCAGAGTGCCCTCCTTATGCGTGTGTCCACTCCTGCTCACTGCCCACTCACACCCCTGCAGCGGTGGGGGCAGCCTACGCCGCCAAGCGGGCCAACGCCAACAGGGTCGTCATCTGCTACTTCGGGGAGGGGGCGGCCAGCGAGGGGGATGCCCACGCAGGCTTCAACTTCGCCGCCACACTCGAGTGTCCCATCATCTTCTTCTGCCGGAACAATGGCTACGCCATCTCCACGCCCACCTCTGAGCAGTACCGCGGGGACGGCATCGGTACGGACTGGCGTCCCCTCCTTGCCCCTGCCCCAGCCTTCTTCCCTCCTCGCTTCTCATCTGGGCCCCGGGGCCTAAGCAGCCACCCCTCTGTGCCCACAGCGGCACGTGGCCCTGGCTACGGCATCATGTCAATCCGCGTGGACGGCAACGACGTGTTTGCCGTGTACAACGCCACGAAGGAGGCCCGGCGGCGGGCAGTGGCCGAGAACCAGCCCTTCCTCATTGAGGCCATGACCTACAGGTGCCCGCCCCTCCCCAGCCACCGCCCCCAGGGCTTTGACTCTCCCCAGTGTGGCCCCCTCCCCTCCATTGCCACCCCTGCCATCCCTTCCCGTTCCTGACCCCGGCCCACTCCCCGGCAGAATCGGCCACCACAGCACCAGTGACGACAGCTCCGCGTACCGCTCAGTGGACGAGGTCAATTACTGGGACAAGCAGGACCACCCCATCTCCCGGCTGCGGCACTTCCTGCTGAGCCGCGGCTGGTGGGACGAGGAGCAGGAGAAGGCCTGGAGGAAGCAGTCTCGCAAGAAGGTGACGAGGGCTGGGATGGGGGCAGCGGGGAGCCTCGGGGCTGCACCAGTGCTGCGTCCGTGTCCTTGGCGCGCGTCCTGGGCCACTTGTCTGCCCTCCGTTCCTGATCTCTGAAGGGGTCCTGGTGGTGCCCACTCCACCAGACAGTTTGAGGGCCAGGTGACGTAATCCATGTGCAGTCGGGGGTGCCCTGGCCACAGGCAGCTCGCTGCCCCCCTCAGCCCAGTGTACTGAACCCCAGGGCACAGCCTGGGGTCAGGCAGCTGCACGCCCCACCCTGCCCATCATCCTCGACAAGCCACGCCCTGCCGGGGACAGAGGCCTGGGGTCAGGCTGGCTGCCGTAGGTGACGGGCTGGGACAGGTTGCCTCGCGGGGTCCCCACCAGGCACCAGGCTGTCTGGGGAGGCTGCCTGCCACCCACTACCCTGGGTTCCACAGGTGATGGAAGCCTTCGAGCAGGCCGAGCGGAAGCTGAAGCCCAGCCCCAGCCTGCTCTTCTCGGACGTGTATCAGGAGATGCCCCCCCAGCTCCGCAAGCAGCAAGAGTCCCTGGCCCGGCACCTGCAGACCTACGGGGAGCACTACCCCCTGGACCACTTCGACAAGTGAGGCCTGGGCCCTGCCCCTCAGCCGCCCAGCGGGCAGTCCCCCGTGAGGGACAGGGGAGCCAGCAGGTGCTCCCGCTGGAACCTTCGGGCCTGGGTTCCTGGCACCTGAGACTGGAATGCGGGTGGCTGTGCACCCCGTATCTGCCCCTGCAGGCTGTCTGTTACACGTAGGGGGCAGTCTGCCAGGTATGAGGCCCTGGCACCCCCTCACCTACTGTTACGGTGCCTTCCCAGGGCACCTCCAGGAGGGAAGCTCCTCTGGACGGGGGGGTGGGGCAGCTGAGTGAATAAACTGTCTCTGCCCTCGGCTCTGGCCCTGCGCTGCTGCTGCCCAGAGCTGGGGGTGGGGGAGGGCGCCTCTGCCCCTCTGAGTAAGGCCTCGGGGCCGTCTACTTCCTCTCCACCCCAGCTTCCCCAGGCTTGCACAAGCTGGAGGGGCAGAGGAAATAAACTGTTTCTCCCTTCGGTTCGGCCCTTGATTTGTTGTTGCCCAGAGCTGGGGGTGGGAGAGGGCCCTTTGCCCCTTTTAAGTAAGGCTTGGGGGCCGTTTATTTCCTTTCCACCCCAGTTTCCCCAGGTTTGCCCAAGCGGGGGGGGCAGCTTCAGGGGGGGGGGGGGGGGGGGGGCTCCAGAGGCAGTACCTGCTCCCCACAGGGAGCCTGTGGTCTGTCCAGCGAAGCGACCAGGAGGCCCTGCCCGGTGCTGTGAAGGTCAGGGTGCCTGCGCCGCTCCAGAGCCCGGCAGACACAAAGACAACCCCAGCCCTCCGTGTGGGGAGCGCGTGTTTATCAAACACAAAAAGACCACGGCAGTCGGCCCAGCCTCAGGCTGTCCCGGTTCTAGAACCATCAAGGCCTGGAAGGAGGCACCCCCGTGGGCTCAGCACCGCGGCTGCGGGGCATGCAGGTGTCTCCAGAGCCCGATGCTGTGCTGCGGGCTGAGGGGCTGCACTAGCAGCAGGTCCTGGAAGGCGCAGGAGTCCAGGGCGCGGTGTGCGGGCCAGGCAGTGTGGAAGCCTGGGTGGGCCCGGGGCACCAGGCCCAGGGCACGGAAGCAGAGGCCGGTGTAGACGTCATCGAAGGGGAAGGGCGCCACACGGGCAGCTGCCCGCAGCAGCCAGGGGGCCAGGCGCCCAGCGATGACGTAGCCACCCCCGCTGGCGTAGGCTGGGTAGTCACCTTCGAAGAAGGAGCCAGGCACGTAGAAGGGCCCTCCCGCCTTGCGGAGGGGCTTGGCCTGGGTGAAGATCTCCCCCAGGTAGAGGCTTCGGGCCCAGGAGGGCGGCAGGGCCTGCAGGTGACCCAACAGGGCAGGGGTGTGCACGAAGGCATCATCCTGGGCCTGCAGCACAAAAGCCACGTCGGGGCAGTGGCGGCCCAGCCAGGCCAGCAGCAGCAGGTCTTTGAGTGTCCGGTTGAAGGGGACGTCGAGGAAATCCCAGAGCAGCAGGTCACGGTGGCGGCGGCTCTCCCAGGCCACCAGCGAGCCCAGGTCAGGCCTGCCCTCTCCCGCTGGGGACCCCAGCAGGAAGAGCAGTCGGACCCCAGGCGCTGGACTGCCCCAGGTCTCCCTCACGGCCTGCCGCTCCGCGAAGCGCCCCGGCTCCGACTTGACAGCCAGCAGCAGGTAGGGGACATCCGCAGCTGAGCAGCCGGCCACGTGGCTGCCACCACCCTCGGGTAGCCACCGCGGGAAGCTCCGGCAGGCCGCTGACAGCAGGAAGCGGCGGAGGTCCTCAGGGTAGGAAGTGAAGTCGGGGATCTGGGCAGCTGCCGCAGCCCCCCATGCCTGGCAGCCCCCAGCCTCCGCGCTGTCCCCACCAGGCAGGGCCCTCAGCTGCCGCTGCTGCCGGTTCCAGTAAGCCAGGGGCGGCGGGCCAGTCTGGCCCAGGCGGGCTGAGAGGTTGGCAGGCAGGGTGGGCTCGGGGCAGGCTGAGGTGGGGCCTGGCAGGACGCCCCTGGGTCCTGCAGAGGCCTTGCTGAGCCGGGCCTCGGACGTCCACTCGATGTACACTTTGAGGCCCAGGAGCGTGAGCAGTGCTGACAGGCAGAGAAGGCACTTGGAGCAGCGCATGACCCGGTCAAGGGAGGGGGCGGCCACGGGAGCTGCGAGGGAGCCACGGAGGTCTTTGGGGGCGCAGAATGGGGCTCCCAAGGCCTGTCTCCCACACCCCAGATCCAAACTGCTGCCCGCCCAAGGACCCAGCTGCTCCTGTTCCCACACCCAGGAAGCACCCCTGCAACCCCAGCCTCCATCCACCTTCCTAACCACCTACTCTCCCTCTGCACGCCAGGGACAGGGCCCCGCCATTCCCACCTCCCAGCCCCACCCCAGGCCCGGGGAAGCGGGATCTGGCTGCTCCTCACCTCAGGGTCCAGCTCCCACCAGCCCGGGCACTGCCGGGCCTCCGCCTCAGCTCCCTCTGCTCTGCCCTTGCGTGTGCCTGGTGCCGTAGGTCTGGCAGCCCAGCCCAGCCCAGCCCAGCCCGTCCAGAGGGGCGGGGGAGGAGTGCAGCGGGACCGGGAGGGCCCCAGGGGCCGGGAGGGGCCGGGGCGGGGCTGGGGGAGGCTGGGCGGGCGGGAGGAGGCAGGAGGCTGATCGGGGAGACGGGGCTCTGGCGTGTTAGGGCTGGTTTTCTGGTGAGGAAAGGTGCAGGCGGGGGTCACTGAGATAGACGTGAACCCCACGGGGCCTGGCGGGGCGGGGAGAGCCAGGGGCCTGGGGAGAGTCCAAGTGAGGGTGAAGCTGCGAGCCTGGCGCCGGGCCGGGCGGGGAGGCGGGTGAGTGTGCTGAGTGGGAGCAGACAGGCCGCCAGACGGGTGGGGGTGGGAGGAAGAGCCGGAGATGGGGGGAGATGGAGAGGGCAGGAGGGGGAACAGGAGGGACATGGAGGCAGAGGGGTAGGAACTCAGGCAGGTGGAGGGCAGAGTCAGGACCCAGCACCAGACCCAGGGAGAGGTGGAGGGCAGAGGAGGAAGAGAAGGCGGGGGTGAAAGGGGGCAGTGTGGGTGGGGGACGGGGTGCTGGCCCACCCGCCGCTGCACCTCCTCCATCCCCTTCCCTGCCTGGCTGTCTTCCCAACAGGGCGGGAATCCACTCCTGCCCCACCCCCACCCCCGGGGGACAGTGGAGGGCAGCCGTGTTTATGCCCCTGCCCTGCAGAGGCCCTGCTGTTGGGCCTGCCTCAGTGGCTGGGGGGGCACTGTTAGCAGAGCCTGAGCTGCCCCCTCCCCTGCTGAGGGTGTCAGCAGCTGGTTATCTGCCCGGCCCTGACTTCCTCCTCCCCAGGTCTGAATAATGGAGCCCTGGAGCAGCTGGAGGAAGCGGTGAGGCCAGGGAGTGGAAGCCGGCGTGGGAGTGACCGCGGGGCGGGGGCGGGGGGCAGGGACCTGAGCACCTCACAGGGCCGCAGTGCTCTGCCCAGCGGCACAGCCCTGACTGCTGTGTGCGTCAGTCTGGGCCCAATCAGAAGACACGACCCAGCAGCTGGAACAGGGGAAGTCTGACACAGCAGTGTTGATGGGGCATCTGGCCTAGTAGTAAAGCCACCATTTGGGGTGCCTGGGTTCAAGTCCCACCTTCCTAACGCACACCTGGGCGGCGGCTGGATCAGGAAGCCACTTCCTGCCCGGATCCTACTTAATTTGAGAGACGGAGACATCTTCCATCCTCTGGCTCACCCCGCCCCACGCTTGGAACAGCTGGGGCTGAACCAGGCCACAGCCAGGAGCTCAGTCTCCCACATGGACGGCAGCCATCACTGCTGCCCCCAGAGTGCACACGGGCAGGGAGCTGGAACCCAGGCGCTGACGGGTGGGGGCGTCCCGATGTCTTCACTGCGGTGCCAAACAACGGCCCATGTACTGCCAGCAAGTGGCTCGGCGCTGTGCTCCAGCCCGGGGTGCAGCGACACCCCTAGTCTCCTGAGGCACTCCAGGCGCAGTCTATCCATGTGATCAGAGACCACGGGTAGCCTGACCAGAGTTTAATGTACAGAATACCGACGGGAGGGACTTGCTGCCCAGTGCCTCAGAATTGCCTGAAATCCACCAGGGTGTGGGGCGGTCACGGGGAGGCACTGCCTGGAGCTCCCACAGCCGGGGGCGGGGTGCCCGGGAAGCCACTGCACTGTGGGACCCGGCAGCCGCAGGTGCACAGGGCACACCTGGCAGGACCGCGACACCAACTACTCGCCGTGTCCTCCAGCGCCCTCTACTGACAAGACCCATCATGCCAGGCAGCAACACAGATTTCAAAGGCCCAGACACAGTCACAGAGCAGACAAAATTGGTGAATTGGGAGCTGAAAGTGAATGACTCAGTAACTGCCAATGCCCTGGGACCCAGGACTGCACTACCCTCCAGGTTCAGTGTCGGCAGCACCTGCTGTGTCCATCGGGGTCCTTGCAGGAGCTGGCAGGGGAAGGAGGGCAGCCAGGAACAAACATCCCAACCTCACGCCTGTCTCCTGCTGATCCGCCAGGCTGAGGGAGGCCGACCAGACCCCCACACAGCCTGCTCCGGTGCGCTGCGTGGGCGCGGCTGCAGGCTAGGCAGGGCTGGGGCTGGCCGTGTCCCGCGGCTGCTGCTCGGGCCCCAGCCTCAGGCCCTGCGTCCAGTCAGCCCCCAGAACCTGGCAGCTGGGCAGCATCTCCTCCACCAAGATCCGCGTGAGGCCCGGGTTGGACACGGCAGGCAGGTCCGAGATGTCCAGCCAGCAGAGGCTCCTGGGGGCGAGAAGGGCAGGAGGCCCACGTGAGGACAGCAGTTTGGGGTATGTGTGGGGGAGGGCTCTGACCCCAGTTCCAACCCCCTGGCTTCCTAAAAGAAGTCTAAATCTCCCAGTACTTGAAAAATTCCGTGTTAACTGCCCACACAGCAGTGCACGTGTCGTGGGGTCTTCACGCAGACAGAAGACCCAGGCATCATCCAGTTGCCCTGGAGACTCGCTGTGACCCTGTGCCCGCCCACACACACACCCACACACACGGTGTGCGATGGCTGGGGGCAGGGGACCCCGTCCCCCTCTCCCCTCATCTGGATTGGGCAGGAGAAGCCTGCACGGGCCCAGCCTGAACAGGTCTCACTGGAGGTGGTGGAGGCACGCGAGGCCCCGCTCCGAGATATGAGGGCAGCCAGCCAGCGACAGCTCCTGCAAGGACCCGGCCAGCGGGTGCAGGCGGCTGAGACACCAGTCGTCCACGTGGGGGCAGTGCCGCAGCCACAGCGACCGGAGCTCCTTCAAGGGCACTGCAGGGGAGAGGGGACAGATGGTACCAAGGGCCCACCCCCGGCCCCCACCCAAGGGAAGCAGCCCTCCCCCTCCGTTCCCCATGGCCCCTCACGCACGGAGGCTGCGCAGGCCGTGGTAGTTGATGGCACAGCCACTGGCATCCACAGCCTCCACAGGAACGTTCTGGAACTTCAGGAACTTGAGGGAGAAACGGCCATGCTTGTTTGGCCGGATCCACTCCTGGTCCTGGAACCTGGAGGGGAGAGGGAGTGTGCGTGACCCCTGACCTTCCCCCCAGCCCCATGTAACAGAACAGCTGTCCCAGGTCTGCCACGCTTTCTGCCAGGCCTGCGCCAAGGGCCTTAGGTCTTGGAGCCCGTGACAAACTCATCCAAGGGGGAAGATGGATGGTCAGTCTGCAGACGGGCTGAGAAGCGCCGAGAGCAGAGAGCTGCAATGCAGGAGCCCCCGCAGACGGGCAGTTAGGGGCCGTTTTCAGACACGTCCTGTGTGGAACTACTCAAACCAGATCAAAGGTGGTTTTGTTTTGTTTTTAGATGTATTTGAACGGCAGAGTTAGAGAGCGCGCTCTTCTATCCACTGGTTCCCTCCCAGACAGCCACAATGTCCTGGGGTAGGCCAGGCTGAAGTCGGAAGTCTGGAGTTTCTTCTGGTCTCCCACATGGGTGCAGGGGCCCAAGCACTTGGACCACCATCCACTGCTCTCCCAGGCCATCAGCAGGGAGCTGGATCAGGAGTGGAGCAGCGGGGACTCAAACCAGCGCCTACATGGGATGCCAGCAGTGCAGGCGGGGCCACAGGTGAAAGATTAGTATCTGAGAGGCAGAGCCGTCCTGTCTGCTGGTTCACGCCCTAAATGCCCTCAACAGGCCACAGCTGGGAGCCAGGTCGCCTGTGTGGGTAGGGACCCCATTGTTTGCGCCATCACCACTGCCTTCCAAGGGTCTGCATTAGCAGGAAGCTGGAATGAGAACAGAGCTGGGAACGAGGCCAGGATGTGGGCACACTAACTGGTGTCTTAGCCACTGGGCTAAATGCCACCCGCAGATGAAAGCTTCCGTTGAAATGGGACTGGCGTGTGGCACAGTGGTCAAGCTGCCGCTCTGCTGGTTCGCGTCCCAGCTGCTCCACTTCCAATCAAGCTCCCTACTAACGTGCTTGGGCAGGCAGCGGGGGATGACCCAAACGAGTGGGCCCCTGGAGCCCACATGGTGTTCCTGGCTCCGGGCTTTGGCTTGGCCCAGCCCTGGCTGTGGTAGCCACTTCGGGGAGGAGACCACTGGATGGAAGATTCTCTGGACACAGTGCCTTTCAAACAAATCGCGCACCCCCCCCGGCCCCCTCCCCAGTCATACTTGACTGCGCCTCCCTGCTTCAGGACGAAGGCGGCACCTGCGATGTCCGGGCCGTAGCGCTCCTCCAGGGACGTGAAGCAGCTGTGGGGACGATGGTGGCCGAGGGTGAGGCCCGGCCAGCACCACGCCCCCAGTCCCCACCCTGCTGAGAGCCGCAGAGTCCAGGGCGCCAGTGCTCAGCACGGGGCACGGCAGTGACCCTGGCCGGGGAGACAGCAAACCGGGAAGGAACGCACACTGCAGAGGGTCAAGTCCTCCTCGGGGAAGTCACCGAGGGCGGCCTGGGCTGGGAGGGGCTCATGCTTCCCGGAGGAGACGTGGGCGCCGAGAAGGGAGCGCGGGCCGAGGGGGGGCCGGGCCGCTCTCTGGGAGGGGGCAGGCTGGGGAGCGCGGTGGGGGCAGTCAGCCCCGTCCGGCTAGAGGTGGAGCCGGGGCTGCGGGGCGGGCGGCCGGGCCGGGGCCTCACCGGTTCTCCTGGTGCACCTTCCGCAGGCGCTTCTGCAGCCAGCGCTCCCTCAGCGCCTCCACGTCGTAGAAGTGCTCCGTGAGCAGCTGCAGCAGCGGCCGCCGCGCCTTCGCGCCCCCTGGGGCCCCCGCCCCACTCAGGGCACGCACCAGGGCCGCCAGGCGCAGGGGCTGGGGCGGGCGGGAGGAGGGGAGGGGAGGGGAGGCTGAGCCCAGCTCGCCCGGCTCCCCCCTCAGACCTGCGCCCTCTCCCCGGCTCTGAGGACTCGCCTTTCCGAACCTCCAAGTCCAGTCCTCCCGAAGTCTCCCCTTCTCTGCCTGACTTAGCCAACATGCCCTGGTTTTCCCAGCTTCCCCCAAACCCTTCTTTCCCTCTCACAACCTCCGTCATCTGACCTAACCGCCTAGACTTACCCGTCTACTTATTTAGAGGAACATGTATGGGGCCGGCCCCGCGGTGTAGCCCGCATCCCATATGGGCTCCGGGCCGGTCCCGGCTGCTCCACTGAGCAAGCTCTCCTGGGAACGCAGCAGGTGATGGCCCAGGCCTTTGGGCCCCTGCACCCACACGGGAGACCCGGAGCCCAGCCCCAGCAGCTGTGGTCAGCTGGCGAGGGAACCAGTGGATGGGCGCCCCCCCCCCCCCAGTCCCTAAGCCCGGGAAGAGCAAAAAGCTTCCACAAGGGAGAAGCCCCCGCGCTTCCAATTCCTTTGCACAGTCTCCGCTTCGTCTGCCCCAATTTCTCCTTGCTTGAAACAAATTCTCCTTTCCCCAAATTCTACCGGTAATTTTTGTCCAAATCTTTTTCGCTCAAAAATCCTTAAGCTCGCAATTTCCCTATGTGAATCGCCTTTTTATCCAATTATCCTATCTAAAATTCTCGCCTTGATTTTTAATTTCCCTCAGCGCCTTCCCAAATTCGCCTCTTGGTTCTTGCCCGTCCCTACCGCCCCTCCTGAATATCTTTGGATTCCCTCAAAATAAATAACCCAAGAACTTCCCTCACCATATCCCCAGCCAATACTTGCAAACCCTCGCCCTCCCCATTAGCAGTTTGCGCGCAGTCGTATCGCTACTTCTGATTGGCTGGGCGCCCCTCCTCGCCCACACTCCCTCCTTCCCCATTGGTTTCTCTCGGCCAAGTCCCCGCCCCCTCTAGCTCCGTGAAACCCCTCTGCCACCGGTGACCGGCACGGATTCCTCCCGCCCGTAACAGCCGCAAGCCCAGAGAGGCGCTCAGCCGGAGACCCTCCTGCTCGCCCCCGGCCCCCGGCCCCCGGCCCCCGCGCCGACGGAACCCGTGAAGGCACGGGCTGCAGGACGGTTTCAATCTCGGGGGTCCTGGGAGCTCCGGTCACCTACCGCCCTGGGCGCCACCATCTTGACAGTTACGTAACCGGAAGGAGTGTCTTTTCTCATCCCACCCACTGGGTTCGGGCGCGAGGTTCCGCCCTCCAGCCCGCCTTTTAAAGGCGCATGCACTTTTTACACTCTGGGACTGGATTAATCCGACCGCCCTCTCCGTGGGCTTTAAGCGGAACTCTGCAGTCTTTCTCTAGGACAGGTGGGCGGTCGTCCCCCCCCCCCCCCGTTAGAGGGCCGTCCTCTCTGACTGCAGTCGCCTGAGTGCTGCCAGCTTTCATTCCATACTTGGTTTTTAAAAAGACTGGTTGATTGATTTGAAAGTCGGAATTGCAGAGAGAGATAGGGAGAGTCGGAGCTTCCATCCGTTGGTTCACTCCCCAGATGACCACAATGGCCAGCTCTGGGCCAGGCTGGAGCCAGGAACCAGGAGCTTCATCCGGGTCTCCCACATGGGTGCAGGGGCCCGAGCGCTTGGGCCGTGCTCTGCTGCTTTCGAGGCCATTAGTAGGGAGCTGGCTCGGAAGTGGAGCAGCTGGGAACAGAACTGGTGATCGTATGGGACACCGGCATCGCCGGCGGCCGCTTTGCCCGCTAAGGCACAATGCAGGCCGCTTTGCTTATTTAAAGATTTACTTATTTTATTTGAAAGGCAGAGTTACAGAAAGAGAGCCAGCGATCTTCCATCTGCTGGTTCACTCTCTAAATGGCCACAGAGGCCTGGGCTGGGCCAGAGGGGAACCAGGAGCCAGGGATTTCATCCGGGTCTCCCAGGTGGGTGGCAGGGAGCCAAGCACTTGAACCACCCTCCCTGCTTTCCCAAGCGCACGAGCAGGGAGCTGGATGGGAAGTGGAGCAGCCCACGTGGGATGCCAGCTCCAAAGGCAGCGGCTTAACCTGCCGCACCACGGCGCTGACTCCAGCTCCAGTCACTTTTCCCTCTAAGATTTATTTATTTGAACGGCAGAGTTAGAGGCAGAAGGAGAGGCACCGAGAGGTCTTCCACCCGATGGTTCACTCCCCAGATGGCCGCAATGGCTGCAGCTGTGCTGACCAGGAGCCAGGAGCCTCTTCCGGGTCTCCCACGTGGGTGCAGGGGCCCACGGACTTGGCCATCTTCTACTGCTTTCCCAGGCCACAGCAGAGAGCTGGATCGGAAGTGGAGCAGCCAGGACTCGAACCGGTTCCCATACAGGATGCCGGCACCACAGGCGGCAGCCTTACCTGCTACGCCACAGCGCTGGCCCCAAGTTACTTTGTAAAACCAGAGTCAGGCACGGGAAGGGTGGGGTGGCCCGCGGCGGGGGCCGGTGTCTGGAGTTCCCGGCTGGACCTCAGGGAGAAGTCCTGTGGACGGGAATACTCATCCCACACGTCCCCTCAGCGCCTAGCACGGGGGGCGGCGGGGGCGGGGGCACTGTTCTGGGTGCTGGGGCCTCAGGGTGAGCAGCACAGGCCCAGCCCTCGGGAGTCAGCTGAGAATGGAGCAGCAGCATGTTAGCAAGACACGTGCAGGCCGTGTCTGAGACGGGTGAAGCTGCCACCTGGGCCCCCTCCCACATCAGAGTGGGCGTGGAGGCCTGCTACTCGGCTTCTGACCCGGCTTCCTGCTAACGTGCCTGGGAGGCAGAGGAAGGCCCAAGTGCCTGGACTCCTGAATCCCTGGGTCCTGGCTTCAGACTGGCCCAGACCTGGCTGTTGCAGACCTTTGGGGACTGACCAGTGGACTGAAGATCTGTCTCTCCTCTCATCTCTACCTCTCCTGCTGTCACTCTTAAATAAATCATTTTTTAAAGTGACAAAAACAGGCAGTATCAAGGGAGTGACTGGGTGCAGGCCCAATCTCTCTGAGGAGGTGACATTTCAGAGATGAATGACAGGAAGGAAGCAGCCATTCAAGGATCTAGGGGAGGGGTGTTCCAGACAGAGGTAACGCAGATGCAAAGGCCCTGGGGTGGGAACCGGCTTGTGGAGAGAAGTAGGCGAGGTGCTGAGGGCTGACTGGGAAGAGGGGAGCGTCAAGTTTCTCTCTGTATTTTGCAAACATCTTTCCTGCCAGGTGGGAACAGACCTTGGCGGCAGGGTGGACGCTGGAACCAGCACAGAGGTTCCTGCGATAGTCAAGCAAGAGGCGCAGGGGCAGGGCAGCGGGGGTGGTGGGCAGCACTCAGATTCTGGATCTCCTTGCAACGTTGCGCCAACAGCTCGATAAGCAGAAGGATGGAAGGATCACTTCTGGAGGTGGGGGACTGGGAGAGCAGCAGGTTTGGGAGGGTGGCTGTGGCCAGCTGAAAGATACTCACCCCCACAACACAAGCATCCCCGTGACCCCAGAACCTGAACCGTCACCCCCCACAAGCATCCCCGTGACCCCAGAACCTGAACTGTCACCCCCCACAAGCATCCCCGTGACCCCAGAACCTGTGCCTGTCACCCCCCACAAGCATCACCGTGACCCCAGAACCTGAACTGTAACCCTTCACAAGCATCCTCGTGATCCCAGAACCTGA